TGTGCAGAAAAGTGAGACACCCATGCAGAACCGTCTCCCCCATACATACTCACAGTGGAGTGATCTAGCTATTGACACCTTAATCAAGTGTTCAAATCTAGCATCGCTAATAATAGGATACCCGTGCCTCCTGTGATGCAACGCAAAGCATACAAACTTCCTATGAGTCTTCAGATAGAATCTAATCAAGTCCTTAGATATAATTTCAAGGTTACAAGAAATATAAGGAATAGAGGAACAAGTTACCACCACCAAGAAGCAATCAGACAAATTCGCATTTGAAAAGACAACTGGTCCAGTTTATTGAAAGAGTCAGCGCCATTTGTTAAAGAAAGGTACGTGGAGGGACATTCTAGGGTAAAAGAAGACAATCAAATGCAATGCATGAGGCTTGATTGGATTCTAAATCAGAAAAAGACATTTTGGGGACAACTGGGGAAATACAACATGGACTTGATATTAGATTATTTTAGGTAATTGTTTTCATAATATGGGTTTTGTAGAAGAATATCTTTATTCTTAGAAGACACGTTTTGGTGGGTCATGTATATCTGCAACATATTTTCAAACTGTTCAGCAACATACACATTCTCTCTTTCACATTCTCTCTCTCTCTCTCTCTCTCTCATTAGATTGAACTACAAGAAATTGTTTCTATTTAACCACCTTTACAACTTCATATAGCTCAACCTAATAAATAGATAAATAAAACAAGTATAGCAAATGTGAACAGTTGTCAAAGTCTGGGGGTGGATATATAAATGTTATTGTACTATTCCTTGAACTTTTCTGATTATTTGAAAATTTGATTAATAAAATTTGAAAAAACAAACAAAATAAGAAAAAAGATAACAGTTTAACATAAAAACTCACTGAGAAGTGAATCCTGCCTTTGCTGTTTAGTAGCTATATGAAAGCAATGAGGCCAAAAGAAGGTTCTTGGGAAGGGAAGGAGAACTGCAGGAGGCTTAATTCTGCGCAAATCCTCTGTGGGACATCCACCCACATTGTCTCAATGAGCATAACCCTACCTAAAAATAGTGTGCTTTAGCACAAACCTCCTGAACACTAGATTTTGGCTCCTCAGTTCTACCTACCAGATGCTAAGTGATCCAGGTGAGGGACTTAACTTCTCTGAGGACTTAGTATTGAGTAGATCTGAAGAATGAAGAGGAAAAAGCAGTTTAGGATGACTTCCAGATTTCTGGCTGGAGTGACAGCTCAGGAAGAGGCGTAAGCATCCCTGAGGGGTGTAGTGGGGGATGGCTGGTATTTCAGGCCAAAGCGCTCAGAGGAAAGAGAGACTTTTTCTTGGAAGTGGTACAGGAACTCAGGATTTCCTCCTGTACCTCAACCTGATGAAGAGTAACAGAGCAATCATGTCTTTTTATTTTTCAAATGTTCCATAATGATCATATATTGCTTTATTTTTAAAACAGTTCTGTGGTATAAAGCTCAGAAACAGCAAAAACTCATACAATGTTTTGCATATGAGGAAATACATTTTTAATTGAGCAATTATATGATTATGAGCTAAAATTAAGTTTCTAAGTGCATACATTTGATAAAATAAATTTATAAAATAAATTTATATCAAGCAATTTATAATAAGATGCAGTTTGATGTGTTTGGGCAGTAGTTGAGGGAGAAACTGACAACAGCAATAACCACAGGATGGGGGCGCCTGCACCGGGAGCAGAGGTGGCATCCAGAAGAGAGGTGGGCAGTGAGAGACAATTCTCACCGCTGGAATGACAGGAGAAACAGCAGACATGACGGGGCAGCTGGGGATGAGCCATCCAGGATCCCCAAGGAAGGAAAACAAAACAGGGTGGGGTGTTTGGGGGTCCAGTAACAACATCAGGAACACATTCTACTAATAACAGCCACAGATGGCTCACTGATTAAATTTCCAGGCATTAGTCATAGATTATCCCTGACCCTCACTGTAACCCTGAAGTAGAATTGTTATGTTTGGTTTGGTTTGGTCAGAGTTAAAATAAATAAATAAATTTTTAAAAAAGGCAAATGGTACATAGAAGGATTTTCAACAAAAAGCAATGGTTCCTTGCTTTTTACATCTCAGCCTCTGTTCTACTTTGCAAGTGCAACCACTTTTACCTTCCTGGCTTTTAATTCTCTTGCTGATGCTCTCCAAGTGTATAAATTTGACTGAGTTGTTATATATAATATTACTTATTGATTCTTGCAATGACAGATAAAGATTCAGCTTACTTAATATCAACCCTGCACACATTTCTAGTTTTGTTGTTCACTTTGCAACTTCTTTATTTCTCTCAAATACAGACAGCATCTCTTGGCTCATTTTATGAGAGGAGGATATTTGAGCTCCTATTTCTCCTAGATTACCCACCTCCACTTCTACCTCCAAACTTTTTGTAAAAGCTATAGTAATCCCTCCGTACCTGCGGGATATTGGTTCCAGGACACACTTTGGATACCAAAGTTCATGGATGCTCATGTTCCTTATATAGAATGGTGCAGAACAATGCATACAGTCAGCTTTCCACATTCGCAGATTCCCAAACTTAGACTGAAAATACTGTTTTTGATCTGAGGTTGGTTGAACCCATGGATACAGAAGGCCAACTATACTGTTAGCTTTCTATGACTGAAAACATTTACATTCCATTCTGTAACCATAATTAAGTCTATAGTTTGTCTTGAGGTTGGAGTCTAACAGTAACCAATAAACAGCATTAACACTATCATGTTTATGAAAGCTTTCCTGCACAACAAAACCAAGAAGCGTGTTTCTGTCTCTATAATCATGTCACAGCCCTCTGCGGCTCAATTGCTCAAAATTATAGTCGTTTGACTTTTTTTCTAGTATTTTCTTGTTAATGGGGAAACCTTTGTCATCTTGCTCATTCTATCTACTGCTTTGAGTTCCGCCTCTGCTTTTTTTCTTTTTGAAGCCCATTGACGTCCTAATTTAACTTGATTCATATTTGTATTGGGACTTTCTTATAGAGTCTTTTATGAAACTTCTAATTGTTTTTCTTCTGTTCATGTTTTGTTTTGGGTTTTTGGGTTTTTTGGTTTTTTTGGTTTTTTGCCTATAGTGTCTCTTGGAGTTCCTCCAACTCCATGTTCTATGACATTCCTTTCTTTCCTGGAGTCTTATTCTTGCTCAAGTATGAACTGGTACCCACACAGCTGACATTCTTGGTCACACTCGCCATTTCCTAACTCCTACGTCTTCCTTATGTTACTTTGTTGTTCTACTGATGGAAGACATGCTCAAATAACTTCTCAAGAAATGTGTACAGCAAGTAAGCTGAGTCTTCACATGTCTAACAACGTCTTTATTTTGCCCTCACAAGCAATCTAACTAGAGATTGGTTTCCCAGGTTTAAAATCATTTCCCCCTGAATTTTGAAACTATTTACCACTGCTTCTAGTGTAGCTAATAACAATCTAATATCAGCATGATTCTTGTTTCTTACAGGAGTTGATGTGTCCCCACCCCAGGAAAAGCCCTCGGGGTTTTCTCTGTATAGCTTATTATTCTGATACTTCCAAGTGATGTGTGTGGTCTTTTCCATTGTCCCTAATCAAAACTCAGGAGGCCCTTTTTAATTGAAAGCTCACATCTTTAGTTCGGGAAATTTTCATTGCCTTGTTTCTTTGGTGTCTTTTCCCCCCTCAGTCTTCTCTGCTCTTTCTGGAATTCCTATTTCTCTCTCATAGTACTCCCTTTGGACTGATTGCTTGTGCATGTGTGTTTAACACTCTCATATTTTACATTTTTGCTCCAGGTTTTGGGAGATTTTCTCTAATTTAGCTTACAATCTCCTATTCAGTATTCCATTTCTAAGGATTCCTTCCCACTTTCTTTTTATAGTGTCATATTCTTATTTAATAAATGCAGCATCATTTCATATCTTTTAAGTGAAGAATAATTAGTTTTGTAAGGTCTTTGATTCTTCTCGTATTTCCTGAATTATATGTTTCCTTTTGGGTCAGTTTTTTTATGTCTATCTTTCTTCATCATACTGTAGCTTTTCTCAAATGTTTGATTCTCGTCAGGCTATTCTTAAAAATGAGACAGGAGGAAGGATGACTGGGAACTCTAAGCACATGATTGGAACTTGCCGAATAGTCAGAGATCTGATCATGGTGCTAGAGCCAGAATGTCAGAATGTAGATGGCTTTGTGCTGGAGTACAATGACAACTCCAACTGCCCAAGTGTTCTCAGAAAGATTCTTCAGTGTCTTTAGAAAAGTTCCCTCTGGTCATTTGCTAGTTGGTTGGTTGGTTTTGTTTTTGTCTATGGTTGAACACCCAGTTGCTGGGCCTTCTTGGTACCAGAGCTGAGGAGTGGTGATGGAGGATAATCATTTCATATACAGATCTTCACTGTCTTCTGTCTTCTCTTCACTCTAGCAACTTCTCTGAATCCCCAACCTCTGCACGGTTCTACCACATATGGAGGCTCTTTTGTGTTCTTTAAGACCCTCCAAGTATATCCTGGGCTGTAGCTTCTTCCGCTCAGTGTTTTTCCATGCACTTTGTCTTCTAGAAATTCACTGAAATCATTTATCCTTTTGTTTCCTAAACTGTTTTTGGTATTTACCTGTTCTGTTTCTTTACTATAATTTTGAGTCCTAGGAGGGAGAGGATATAGGTAATTGTGCTCTAGACCCCATCCTAAACCAGTAGCAAGGTAGAGATTGTTATCCCATTTTACATCTGGAAAACAGACTCGTGTGATTAAGTAACTTGCCTAAAATAATATGTCTAGAAAGGGAAGGGCCAGGATAAAACTTATATGTTTTTGACTATGCCAAGCTACCTCTTTTTGTCCAAACCATGACTTAGGTATGACCTGGAGAAATGAGGCCTTACATAGTAATATGAGTTTTAAATATGTTGTCATTGTGTGTAAAAATGACTCAGAAACTGCCCCGACTAAAAACTGTGCCACATCTTTTTACAAGTTACACATCTAGAATAAAATGAGAAATCATCAAAGTCATAAAAGAGAAGTTTTATGTTTTGTGGGTTAGATAGGTAGGGCTGGTGTACAGTTGGGTAGTGGGACAAGGGCTTGGCACACTTAGTGTTCTCTCTTGAGATGGTACAGACTCCAGAGCAGTGGGGTGAATGGAAGAGACTTGCTAGGAAGGCAGGTCACCCTATCTATTTAGAAGCCACTCTCTCATATACATTCAGTACTTATTAAGTGACTAGTGTGTACAGACACTTCAATAGATAGGCTCCAGAGATACTTTCCACTTCAGGCAGGGTAATATCCCCCAAAAGATGAGTATCTCTTCATTTTGGGAGACTTCTAGAAATTAAACTCACACGGTATCTCATAGGAACATATCATAACGGTTTAAGATTTAAAATGTTACAATTGTTCTAGTTCAACCATAAATATAGTTTGAGGGCTTTTGAATAGCTATTTATTCAGCAAACCTTTACTAAGCTCCTACCTAATGGCAGCCACTGGGGCTAGGACCCAGGAACAAAACGGTACAGAATAGATTATTTCTAATGAAGTTTAGCATTTATCTACCAAAGACAATGCTGAACATCTATTTTTTCTCAGAGGCAGAGGCCAAATTAGCTTAACTATGAAATGTAGATTGAATTTTGATAAAAGCCACAGAAAACTGGACTAGAGAGATGGTGAACATGTTATATGCTGGTATTAGGTCACTGTGATATTCATGGGGAACAACATAATTTAACAGAAATCATTCTGTTCATAGCATATTTCTTGAATTTTCACCCTCCCTGTGGCTGTTTTGGTCTCAATTTGACACTGCAGGGAAATTCACTGTGAAGTCTGAAATGAGTGAGCATGTCCTCAAAGGATGGCACACAAGCCTGTGAACTTGGAAAGAGAACAAAGCTTTCTAGTATGATAAACAAAGAAAATGGAGATTAAAAAGTCTGGTTTCCTCTTCTTTGCATTGGCACATATCAGTTGTTATACAACACTGAATAATATACTCCTCCTGTTCTTGAAAGGTAGTTATTATTGAAGCATTTCCAAAAGGAAGTATGTTTCGATTTTCAATAATAACAGTACATATGAAGTGCTAATGCAAGAACTATAAGAGAAACTTTTAAAAGTACAGTATTTACGTTTGTGATGTTTTTCTCCCTTCTAATTCCACTCGTTCCAATATTCCCCGAAATCTCACCAGCAGGCTGACATCCTGATAAACTCTAAAAGGAGAAGGAAAACACAGTCTGAAAGGCAGGGAAGGTGTGGCAGCTAGAGAGGTCATGGGGAACGAGAAGGAAAGTGCAGCCACTCAAGCATAAGGCTTTAGGTCCAAGGGCTGAGAGGAAGTACACCAGATTGCAGAGTGCCTACAAAGGACCTGATGGCAGACTTCCAATGAAGGAGCCCAACCTTCAGTTTCTTTTCTGTAGCCCTCACTTCCAAACAAAGCAAGGTGCAAGACAAGTCCTGACGTCAAGCAGCAGGGAGCTTCCTTCCTTCGGGAAAAGCTAGTAAAATGGCCAGCTTTCTCCTGAAGTTGCTGCTGTTAGGGAAGACTGGCAACGGCTGAGATGGCAGTATGCAATGAGTATGGTAATTAGAGTAAAAATATGAGTCTGTGTCCATTCAACCCTGCAGGAGTAATTCCCTTCCCTGAGCCTCAAATTCTTCATTTGTAAAATGTGGTAAGCAGACTGAGTCAGAAAATAAATGATTCTAAATTTCTAAGACGTTTCTTTTTCCCTCTTTATCTCTTTCTTCCAAATAAAAAAAAAAACAAAAACTTAAGCTGTAAGATCATAATCCAGTCCTCCTGCTTTCCATAGACCCAAGATTAATTCAGGTACTTTCTGAGTAACACAATAAAGTCATCTTCAGAATGACACCCACTGAGGCCTTGGCTGCCACTCTGGTCCAGTCGGCATCCTGATGCCAGGCAGTGACCTGGCCAGCATCCACTGCCTACATTCCAGTTGATGCTCTCACAGGAGACAATACCTTCCTTTCCAAAATGTTTACTTTTTGCTCAGAACAAAAAGATGTCTGGATAGGTCTTCATTTGACTATCTGAACAATCAGCTTCTTGTGTTATTTCTCCAAAGCAGAATTAACTCACATAATTTTGTGTCATCACCAGAAGTCTTTGTTGCATTAAAAAATAATAATAATAATAAGATATCACCCAACTCTGGCCTGAAAGTTCTTTTCGAATATCTCATGGTATCACCATGTCTAGGTAGCCTAGTACGTAATAGTCCTAATTGACTTAATTAGCCAAACATGAAACCTACTCAGTACTGCCCCTGTAGGCATCAAAATCTTAAGTATTTATAACTTCATAAGTTACAATTCAGTTAACAAGTTCACTTTGTTGCAGCCCTTGTTAAAGACTCCCAAATTTGTTTCAAGTTGGACACTACTAATGAAGAGTTCAAAGTATTGCATCCTCACAAGTCACATCTTGTCATTTCATATCCATTTGAGACCAAACCCTATTGCACTCTTAAATTTTATCATAGTTATTAGTAATAAACCAATAGAGACAGTATAACTAAAAGTTCAGAAGAACATTTTCCTTATGAATTAAAATGCATGCACATGCACGTGAGTTACTTCCTCCCCACATTCTGTTCTACTGTACAAACGGTCACACAAAACAGACCCCAGAACAATGTGAGCAGCTGACACCCTGAGCTGAGCAAAGGACCCCAACTGCAGAAGTCCCAGACTGATCTGGGTCTAGATGACAAGCTTTTCCACACTAAGGGTACTTGTGGTTTCATCCTCTTCGTTTGACCCAAAATATCCCGGGAGGTCCAGCATCCTCTGCTCGGCCTCGGTGAGGCGGAAGGATGTATTGTCATAGAAGGCAAACTCGGGCTGGGCTGGGAAGCTCTGACACCTGTCTTTTCTACACTGAGAAGGGCTCAGAGGGCTGACCCTCTGGTAGCTATCTTTGGGGGCAGTGGGCGAAGGCTGCTTCCTTGAGACGCTCCTGTGACTGGGGGATGGGCCTCTCCGAGCTCTGGGAGGCTCCGTTCTCTCACCGCCCGCCAAGAATCCTGCTTGGCGATCCCCCAGGTCTGGTTTCCTCGTGGGCTGCCCCAAGGTGTAGGATTTAGGGAGAGGGCTTAGCGGACCGCTGGTTCCACCTGCCCCTTGGAAACGGTCCGGTTTCTCAGGAATCGCGCCGGCGCCCCGACTCGGAGGCCGACAGCGGTCCTCCGCCTGGTCCCAGGGCCGCGCCCTGGCGCTGTAGGCCGGGGCCTGGCGCGGGGTCAGCGTGGACATGCTCCTCTCCCTGAACGGCCGGGCCTGCCTGGCTTCGTGGAAGCTGGCCGTCCTCCTGAAGTGGGAGCCCCTGGGGTGACTCCTGTCCGACGGCCCCCCTCGGCCGCCCGCGTGCCGCATCTGCGACCTGCGGATCAGGGTCTGGCTGGGGCTGACCGCGCAACTGGCCTGCGGGGTGGCCGCGTCCGGCCGGGCCAGAGGCTTCTCCCCCGCACCGAGCACGGGCTGGTCCGGAAAAGGGGATCGGATGCGGAACTTGCTGGCGGCAGCTTCTTCGGGGCTTTGCGCGTCCAAGGGCGGGGCGGCCGCGGCGTCGATGGCGGTGTCCGTCAGCGGACTCTGGGACACGTGGTACACCTTGGTGGTCTCCGTCAGGCCCCGCTTCTTCATCTCCTTCAGCTGCTGCTGGGCGAGGCGGTAGCTAAACAGGGGCGGGATTATCTTCTGCGCGTTGGACTGGAAGCTCTCACTGCCAGAGGCCTCGTCGTCCGGAGCCACCGGCACACTCGGCGCACTCCGCCTGCAGGTCAGCGGGATGCCCGTGTCCCCAAGGCCCCCCGCCGGCCCGTCCCCGGCGTCCGAGAAGCTCCCGCGCTGCTCGCTCAGCTCGCAGATGTTCTCCTCGTCGGAGTTCTTCCGGAAGCTGGGGGAGTGGATGGAGTTGTGTCGGGCGGGGGTGCTGCACTTCGTGGGGCGGCCGAACTTCCGCCACAGCGTGATGAGGACCGTGGCAACGATGATGAACAAGCACAGGGATATCCCGGTGACCGTCACAATGTTGTTGGACTTCACTGGACCCAGAGGAGGAAGAGGAGATGGACTGGATGGATGGAAAGCTACAAATAAAAAAAAAAAAAGGAAGAACAAATGTATTGTTTTCTTTGCATGGGTTTAAGGTCTCTGGGTGGCTTGTTCTAGTTATCTGACAACTAAAGAAAGTAAAATAAACAAGAACTAGGATATGGAGTCATACATATGTATATATATATGACTATATATATGACTACAAATCCTAGTTCTTGTATAATATATATATACGTGTGTGTGTGTGTGTGTGTGCTGGCAGTTTAAGCCAAACTGAAAAACAGAGACCCGTAAAGTGAGGTGACCAGATAATCCACAATCAAGGTGACTTGGGCTCGCTAGCATTTGCTGACACTTGCCTCAAATTTTCTACATAGAAGCCCCATGAAGAAAGTTTGAAGGTAAAATCAACATTTTCACTTAAGGTACACGTGGGATATCTGTAGTTAAATGTACCTTTGTGAGATGCACATTGGAAAATTCTTACAAGTATAAAACTTGAAATGCAAAATAATTTAGGTAGGTTATACCTAAATTAGATCATGCCAAGAGAAATTAATACATGAAAATAAGGCTTTTGACAATGTAACTCACTTTTCCCTTCTAATATCCAGGATCTGTCTTTCCAAAATGTCAAAGCCTCTGCTTTCTCACTCTTCTACTTTCATCTGTACATTCCCCTTCCTACCCTCCATGTGACATTGATTTTTCTTCTTCTCTGCTCTCTCAAACTGGTTTGCCCTACAGTCATTAAAAAGTTTCACCAAGACGCAGAAGCCACCTGGGGCTGTAGCCTGTGCTGCCACTGAAATACTTGGGAACCTAAGATCAACATGCCACCAGGCCTCACCTCTCTTTTTCCTTCGGTCACTGTCCACCATTCAGTCCTTCCAGTCACCTCTTTTTTCCTATAGTCTGATATCTTTTTTCCCATAGTCTTATTGCCAGTGGCCCTGAACCTGTCCCTCCATGCTCCCCTTTCTCTTTCCTACTGTACCCTATGGGACACCTGACAACCAAACTCAACATCCAGAACCTTTCCACAGAATCTTTCCCTTTACCTCCTCGTCTTACCTGAGGGTTAGATGTCCTGCAGGGCACAGCTTCTCCCCACCCTCTTGGGGGAAGCTTGACACATACTTTATAAGCAAACAAGGCCAGCAGCAGGTGTGTCCTCAGCCTTCTCATTTCTAATTGTCACTTTCAACCACCTCTTTCCATATCAAACTTCTACTCTATTGATGCCCAAGCCATCATTTCTCAGCCTTTTGGTTAAGATCAAGTGTGATGCTCAAGCAATCACGACACCTCTACTCCTCCCTCAACACTGTCATCTCTTAACCTCATGGCAGCCATCAGTCGCTAGCACCTGGGTCCCTGTCTTCTTCACCATCCCATAGTTAGGAAAATCTGGGTGACTTTGGTGTCCATACAACATATCATACCTTCCCATTGTCTGTGGCTGCTCCTAAGATTCCTTCTGAAATCTTAGACTTCAGAGCCCACTTTCTGGCTGTCATCTTCCTCTTGCTCACTCATTATTACTGCACTGGTTATCCAACCTCACTGCAACTTCTGATTCACCAACCCCTCTACTTTCTCCCAATCTGTCAGCTACCTCCTGGCTTCACTTCTCTCCTTTCACCAATGATCCATCACTGAAACCATTCTCCTGCCAATAACCTCAACTCTCTGACCTCTAATACTGAGCTATACCCCTTTCCCTGTTCTGCCGCAGAATTCCATCCCTAGATAAACCCAGACATAAATTCTCAGCTGCTGCAGCCAGGTCCTGGTTAAGAAAATAGCTCACCTATGCAGGCGAGTACCTCTGCATGATGACAGCACCCATCCTCAGCTGCCCACAAATCCTTCCATGGCTTCCTAGGCAACTCTCTCTTCCATTCCCTACAATACTGCTTCAAAGTTCCATCACCTTCTTCAAGCCTCCTATCTAATCCTCTTCCTTGGCAGTCTTCTTGGTCATGAAAAATAGAAGCTATCAGGCAAGTGCACCCAAGCTTCTTCTGCCATCCTCTTCTCTCCCATAAGCTTAGCAGTAGCTGCACCTCTATTTACTTCTTTCTCTATGGACTTAGTGGAGAAGTGTCTTCCTATAAAGATGAGTCCACCATCTCTCTAGGCCACCCTTCTCCAGGAGGATGGTCCCTCTATACCAGTTACCTCCAGCTTCTCCTCTATCCACCTCCACAGAAACATGCTCAAGCTCTTCACACTTTAAAAAGACATCTCTAGAACCCCCTCACTACTGCCACAGCCCTATCTTGCTCCATGTCTTCCCAGCCAAGCTTACAGAAAGAGGAGTCCACCTTTGCTGACTTACTGCTTCTACATCGTCAGCTCTGGCTCCTACAATCTGCTACCAGGATTCCAACAAAACGGCTTCAAAGTCATTGATGACCTAGCAGCCAAATTCAAAGAATTCTGTCCTGATATTCCTTGACTCTGTTGAACACGTCCTGTGACTTTTTCTCTTCTTGGTTTCATTCATAACACTCATTTATCTAATGTGAGGAGAAGAACAGAAACTTTGGAGCCAGGGAGGTCTAGATCCCATCCTGACTCCACTAGCTTTGCTCTCTCCATCGATGTGCCACCAACACCATCACCTCCACATGCCCCAAACTCCATCTTCCTCTCAGAACCTGAGCCTCCTCTGATACATCTGATCTCAAAGGAATGGCACAACTGTCTACTCAGTGGCCAATGCTAGAATCCTGGATTTCATTCTGATGCTTCCCTCTCTATCACTTGCCACATCCAGAGTCTGTGAATCCTTCTCTGCTCTGCATCCCCACTGCTGGTGCTTCACTTTTCACCCGGGTTACTGAAAACCTTTTAATAGGCCTTGCTGCTGCCACTCCTACCCATCCTGATTTGGACACCACACTACAACTGAGAGATCCCTCTAAAACCTAGGTCCAAACCTTCACGGCCCCTCAGGCTCTGGCCCCGGTCAACCTGTTTGGCCTCATTTTTACCACTCTCTCCTGGCACACTAACCTTTAGCCACATTAATTATTTGCAGTTCTCTGGGCCTCAGTGTGCCATGTTCTTCCATGCTTTCACCTCTTTGCTAAAATTCTCTTTCTCACAGAGTTCACCTGGGTAACTCTTAACTTGGCTCTCAAACTTCAGCTCAAAGATCACCTCCTTCAAGAACAGAGGTAATCCCAGCATGGATTATCAGCCCTGAAAGCTTCCATAGCAAGTTTTACCTTTATCAGTGCAGGCTCTCTGCTGTACTGTATATTACACCTATTTATGTGTCTGCTGAGCAACTGTATCATAAGCCCGTTTCAGACAGGGATATGTCTAATCTATATATTCCCAACCCCAGTAACTTGCACATAGTTAGTACTCAATAAATGGTAGATTAATAAATGGATTGATTCATTATTAAAAAGGTAATAGCAAAATGATCAATATCCCCAGACAGAACCTGGATGCGATGGCAATTGAATCCTCCTCCTTTCATTGAACGAGGTGGACCAAATTACTACACCTGGACCTTGGCACTGAAACATCCTTTCAAAGCAAACAAACAAACAAAAACAAAACAAACAAAAAACCTCTAAACTCCCAACCAACTGAAAATAGTTGAATGATGAAAGACTTGTTTCCTGACTTATCATTTCTTTCATCTGCAGTGGCTGCCGACGCCAGGGGGTAGCACCACAGCTGCTCCACACTGCGGGCCTCTTCACTAACTTGTTACCTATGACTCTGGCTGGCTCCCTTCAAAACCACAGCTGGAGAAAGGCCCCAAAGCTGCTGGCCTCATCCACCTCTGCCTTGTCTAGTCTTTCCTCTTTCACCAGAAATTAAGATTTCCTGATGCTAAGTAGCCTTCAAATAGGTCTTTATATTTCTAAGGAGTGGAAAACAGGTAGAACAGGAAAAAGAGAACACTTGTAAGAAATGATCACATTTACCCACATAAGCATTTACCTGAGGACCACTTACAGCAGAAGCAGGGGTGCCTTATAGCACTTACCTTTTTTGCTAATATGTAATGTACACATTTCTAGTTCCCATCCAGTATTAAAGAGTTAAGATGCCAGAACACGAAAGAGCACCACGTACCCTCAAAAATGCTTACTAATTTCAGGTTATTGATAATCCTAGAAAGCTAGATTAGCCTGTATATAAAAGCAAAGTATTTGAGATAGGTTGCTTAGTATACGGTCAGATCTAGTCCCCTGCTTTCTAGCTTCATAATCTTGGGTAGGTCACTTACCCTTTCTGTGCCACAGAGTCCTCATCTGTATGTGGAGATAATGATGTACCTACTTCATATGTGCAAGGCCCTTAGAAAAATGCCTGGTAGGTAGCAAGTTCTCAAGCCATGAGCCTAGCATAATAATCTGTAATTGTAGAGTTATTATGAGCTTTAAGTGAGATGATTTATTTAAAGTGCTGGCAAATAACAGATGGTCAATAAATGGTTGATATTTTTTTCACTTCAACAGTGCAGTAAAAGCCAGTGGAAATTGATTTTAAATTCATTTGAGTATTATGGCGTTCTAGACAAAATATCTTGACACAACATGCCATCTCAGAATTCAGAAGAACAGGTGGGTTTGAAGGAAGTTATACACAAGGAAAGAACTGTGAAAAGTGAAGGGACTTATAAAGAAAAGAGTAGACATAGAAGAGAGCCTTAAAAAACAGTAGGAGATATAACTGGAGAAAGAACAGATTCAGTGTATGATCCAGAGCTTATGAAAAAAGAGGCAGGCCTAGGGCTAGTAGAAGAGCCTAGGTCTGAAGCTGTAACAGGTAAAAAGGAGAGAATGTCCTTAGAATACTGGAATAAAGCGAAAAGGCCTGTAGCATTGGCTAGAAAGGCAAGATAGAAAGAATGATTTTTTTAAGGTCACGAGACACAGACACTGACCAAGGTGTTTCCAGGTGCCTGTTGTTTTGGCTAAAAGGTCCTTTGAGATCCAAACACAGGAAAACAGCTAACTCCTTTACTTCAGAATGAGACAAGGAAGTAGGAATGTTTTTGAGTTTATTTTTAACCTGGAATTGCAAAGTGGAAAAAGTCAGAACTTGACAGAAGGACTTAATCTAAGAGTCAAGATCAGAGCAAAAGCCAGCCAACTAAATGGAGGACCAGTTGTGTATCAGAAGGTGGGATGGTGTGTGAGAAGAACAGGACTGATAACTGTAACCTGTAGCAAATGAATGGGATTTGGCTCCATATGCTCCATAAGCTAAAGCAAACCCAGCTCAGCCATGTGTGCATCACATCAATGGACATTCATGTCAAATTCTCATTGAGCACCTACAAGTGTGTGCCTTCAAGATGCTTAGAGCAGCAGTCTCCAACCTTTTTGGCACCAGGGACCAGTGCTCCTATGAGAATCTAATGCCCACTGATCTGAGATAGAGCTAAGGCGGTGATGTTAGCACTGGGGAGCTAGTGCTCACCTCCTGCTGTGTGGCCAGGTTCCTAACAGGCAACAAACAGGTACCAGTCCGAGGCCCAGGGTTTGGTGACCCCTGGCTTAAAGGATGAAGGTAAGGCTAGTCTCTAGAACCTAGAGTCTAGGTGATAGAAGAACTCTCCCTACATTCCTCTGGGTAGGCAGGTAAAGAATAAATACAGGGCCATCCAGAGGATAGAACAGGGTACCTTGCTTCATTTTGACAAATAATGATCTATGAGGTCTCCTGGAGCTTCGATGGGATGATAGGGAGAAAAAAAATTAATGTTTTTCCATAATTTTGGTGGGAAGAAGTAAAGGGGTGAGAAATAAAAAGTAAAAACAAAAACAAAAAATATTGAGAATAACTTTCCCATTTTTGTAATTTTAAAAATGGTTTCATATGTCTGAATCCATAATTTAGATAGATTTCCTTGTCATTTCCCTACCTTCTGCAGTGTTAAACTCCCTGTCATCTCACAGGCAAGCTGCCCCCAGTCAATGACACACTCATGAGTACAGGGTTAGCACTGCCAGCAGCAATAACAAAGTTTTAATGAATCCACTCCTGAACTCATCAGACTGTTGGTTTTCCGTCAGGCCTGGGTTCAGTAGTCTCTCTTGGGAGAAGATCCCAAAGGAAGAAGGATACCTACCAGCACACTCCTCCAGGGAACATGGGGAGGTCTCCGAGGACATTCCAAGGCAGCCAGGTCTGGAGGGGAAGGAAGTCAGGCACATGCGGCGACGTTCTCTGACACCGTCCCCACACGTAGCACTACACTGGCTCCACGGCTGCCACAGTCCCCAAGTTTCTGCAAGGACATTAGCCATGCTTTTAAAGCTAGTTCATTTGAGAATCAGAATTGCCCCCAAATGAAGCAGCAAAACTCAAACCTTGGGCCTCGAAAAGTCAGTAAATAAAAACATTCCCAAAGATGTAGAAAACTGGGAAGAGTGTTGCTCCTATCCTTAAAACAAAGCTGTATAAGCTACAAAATGTTAACCTTTCTAGAACCCAGCAGAAAACTAAGGTCACATGGAAGCCAAATGGCCTGAAATGGAAGGAAAGACAGGCTCATCTAGACAGGATGCAAATGTTGCTTCCTGAGACAGGTGCCAGGCTTCATACAGCTGGTGAGAAGAAATCATCTAAAAATGTAATGAACTGCTAGAAGCCTAGCGTGGGCCAGCATGAGAACACAGAAGCCCTGGGAGCCACATGCCCAAGGGGCTCTTCTCGCAGCCTCTTCTCCGCAGATCTCAGCAGATGCTAGCAGGGACTGTGAGGAGGCGCAAGGCCAGAGAAAGCCTCTCTTTTGGTGGAGGCCTAGGGAGGGAAGGAGCAGTGCTGTGGGAGAGACTCAAACCTCACCCAGACCCCACTCTCCATCTGGTCAATCAAAAAAAGCCTCAAGCACTGGGGACAAGGCAGAAAGCCCTGTCACTAAAGAGCACCTGGTGAAACTCAATGCTGCTAGGGAATGAAAAAAGAAGAAAGTCCTTCACCCTTGGAAAGAAATAGCGAATATCCTGGGCCCAGATTCTTAGAGAGCTCCTACCTCTGGGGAGGGGCAGGATCATCAGTAGGACCCATCCCTGGGACTCCGGAGCACAGCACTTGCCTAAGACTAAGGCTGAGCTAGCACAAAAGTATGCTCTCCCACTCCCACTGCCCAACCCCAACACTGCACCATGTTAGCAACTACTGAGTATAAATAACAACGGCCTACTGCAGGGGCGTGGGCAAGCGACAGGTGAAAACCTCTCTGATGTGCATGCTCAAGCTTAAAGCTGAGGATGCAACAGAAGCATGGAGAAAAACTCTCTGGCAACCCAAATCCTACCCTAAACACAAAGTAACATTAGAAAATTCTGACCTCTGTTATGCACTGAAGGCAACCACAGCAACAACAAAAACCCAAGCACAGCTCAATTCCTTACTACACTGACCCAATCCCCACACTGAAGGCCTGCAAAGACAGGGTACGCCCATTTCCAGGCTAATACTATTTACCAGTGTCTATGGTTCTAAATAAGATGTCCGATTTTCAACCAAAAATTATGAAACACAGGAGAAATAAGAAAAAAACAATAAACTATTCAAGAGAAAGTAATCAAGAGAACCAGACTCAGATGTGACACAGATATTGGAACTGTCAGAGAGAGAAGTTAAAATAACTATGATTAATATGTTAAAGACTTTAGTGGAAAAGGTGAACAAGATACATGAACAGATGAAAATTTCATCAGAGAGTTGTAAACTAAAAAGTCAGATAGAATGCTAAAATTAAAAGCATGGGAGCAGAGATGAAGAATGCCTTCTAGAGGCTCATCAGTAGACTCA